GTTTTCCATCCTGATGAACCTCCTGCGAAAAATGTGTGTGACTAGGCTGAAGAAGCTTTTTAAAATATAAAGTACTATTTTATAACAGCAGTCATGTAATGGTGCTTTATACTATAAGGTAAAGAACCTACAATATAAGAGTGAGAGCCCCAATGGTCCAGTGAATCCCCGTGAGAAAACTCTTGGCAAAAATTCAGCAATTACTCAATGCTATGGTTGCTGCCAAAGGAGCTTCTGCAAAGTACTAAAAGAAGAGTCTGAAAATTTTCATTTTCATTTCAGATTTTTTTATTAATTGCAAGATGCAGAAAAAAAGCATGTTTGCAATTATTAATTATTGAGTGTTGATGGATAAATTGCATCTCATAATATCTACAAATTAAATATACAACACAATAACATGTCCAATAACTGAAAGTGGGTGAACCTTATGTTTTTGTAATGAAGTTTAAACATAAAAAACTATGCTGATCTTTTTTGCATATATGCATATAGTTTGTATATGCCTGTAATTCAAAATATATATCTATAAATTCCCCACAAAGTTTATGTTTTGAAATCATTTTTACAGTATATTAAATAATGTATCCAGCTTTTCATTCCTATGCATGTTAACCTTCATGATGGGATTTGGCCCAGGTCTGTGAGTGTGTTTACTCATGTCTCTGTTGGTCGGGGTGTGTGTGTGCGTGAATCACAGGGGGCTTCTCTTCCCTGTTTGGCTCCGATTTTGGCAGCCCTCTGTATTCTGCCATGCATACGGAAACATGCAGGAGTGGGCCTGGAATCAAGGTCAGGCCTGGAAAATGATGTAGCAACACTCCTAAAACCTGAATTTCTGCTGAGTTTGGCATTGTGCTCACTGTCCCCCGAGGCCACAGCCAGGAGTCACCCATCATGCTTATCCAGACCAACCTGTAATGAGCTGCTGGAAGACGTTCCGATGTAGGAGTAGTGTTTGGAGACTGTTGGCACGATAGTTCTGTTGAAGAGACTACATGGTCTTCTGGCACAAAACTAGGGTCAACTTCAAACTCCCATAGATTAAATGTCACTTAGTGGTAACCTCCATATGTGAAGGAACACACTAAAAATCTCAAAATATAGCAGGTGAGGAAGATATACAAAAAGTATTTGAATTTTAAAGTGTAATAAATCAAGAAACTTCTAACAAGTAACAGTTAAATGAAAGCAATTTTAAAACAAAATTTAAAAAACACATCATCCAGTTCAGCACCACAATCGTCTAATCCAGGGTCAAAAAAATCCTAATTTACTTCCTACAAGTGTTAGGAGGCAAGAGCGCATAGACTGAAAGTACAAAGACACAGAGATCAGAGAGCCCCCATACCACTTTTGTGCTGACCTTAAAAGGAGCAGCGCACTGTGCAAACATCTGGTCCATCAGCTGGATCCTATGCATCAGCGGGCACAGGGACACACTGGGACAGGTTGGCGGCTGCCTTTGACAGCAACAGTTAATTTCCAACATAATCAATTTATGTGCAGCTCCATAATAACCATCTGTGTTCTGCATGAGGAGGACAGTCCTGAGGAACGAACAGTGCTGGCTGCTCCTCCTCTCCATGGGCGACGCCAGGAGCAAAAGGGAGGAGAAGGAAGCGAAGGAGTTGGAAAACGGGGAAGCGAGGCGTTAATGAAGGAGGTGGGTGAGTTGAAAGTGTAAGAGGGGTTGTTGCAAGAGTTAGGTAAAGATCAAGTGGGCAAGGAGAAGTAAGAAGAGAGGGGGAAGTAGGTGATGATGAAGAGGTCGAAAAAGGAAAGATGATGAAATTAGGCGACTGTTTCTAAAATAGCCAGGGGCAAGGGCACTTAAGCGGTGGAAGTCACATCAGTCAGAGGATGTGAAAAAAATCCCTGTTTCATTTCATTACACGAAGCAAATACAATGAATGAATGAAGTAGGTCTCCACAACATTTTCCTGCTATAAATGTGGTTTGCTACCAAGGTTAGCTCCCTTGGCACTTGAAACCCACCGCATCCTCATCCACCTCCAATGTCAAAATTTGCCAGGGAAGGTGTCACTCAGGCGATTACTGAATCACCTTAGTGAGCCAATTACACTGCAGGCTGTCAAAGCCAATAGCAAACAGTGCCTCACGCACAGACACCCACAGCTTGGCTAGTGTGAAACAAAACATGAAAACAGAATTAAGCTCTGGTGACCCTTCACCCCGCGACATGCAATTTTCATAAGAGTAATCAGCATAATGTGCTAGCTTCTGCACATAACTTCTGACTTGTTTTGACCCTAAAAGGAATGTTTGTGTGCTTCATAAATTTGGTAAGACTTTCTTTGAAGGTCATGTCTGTAATGCATTCTAAACTTTAGACATTATAATACACTTATGAGGATTTAGATCATTCTCAAATATATGTTCTTAATCACACAAGACAACAAGGTTTATAAAGCACAAGTGTATCTCCATGACAACGGGATGGCACTGGCTGAAAGATTACAAGTCCTGAGTTATGCAGCTTATAAATTATCTTCCTCTCAAAACTACATGAAGACTGTAAAACTACTTTCTAATAACATGATTCTAAATGTGGTTGCTAATAACAGCGATGTCAGTTTAAAGTCAATTTATGAGCTTATGTCATATCAGAAACTTGGAATTTATCAGTTGTTACGATACATTTATAGACATCTCTGTGGTACAGTTATGGTTTACCTGTTGTCACTTTGGCATGGAGGCAAAAGGCATAATGGAGACTTGACTCAATTTATATGATAGTATATTCAAACTTCAAGTATTTTGTATACCTTATTGCAAGTTTTCATGCAAGATTTTAAATATTAGGAGTATACTGTAACGCCCCCCGAATGCTTTTATCACCCAGTCTTTTGCAGACTGAAACCTCAGCCATGTTGTTTTGGTTCAGGTGTGAATGAAAATCACAATTTCCCATCTTTTTCTCAGGTAGTCTTCAAATACAATGCACCGTTTCCCTCTTTTGCCTTGTGATGTGTGCACAAAAGTAGAACTTACAAGCATACAAACACATGTGAGTCCACACAAGTCAACTCGCATGGAATCCACCTGCCAGCGTGAACCTGATGTGTGCGTGTGATGCCTTCTGAAGTTTATATATATTTTTACACACTGCTACTGCGAGACCTCAGAACGGTCCATCCAACCTGTCATGCATTATACATGTGCTGTGTGAATGTCCATGTGTCCCTATACATCCTCTGCCATCCTAATTGACATGCAGTGGGCCCTAGCAGCTGTGAAGCTCTCTATCTCTGTGTGTGAAAGAGTGTGTGCATGTTGTGTATAGCTCTCAGTAAAGCCCCTGCATCCTCTAGGCCACCTGGACATAATGGCCTTCAGCTGCCACCATCACCACCAGTATAAGCAGCAGCAAGAGCTGAGAGAGACCCATTTCTAACACATGCACCCATTTTCTTTTTATGACACATGGACCTCTGCTACTGTTCATTTAGCTGTGTGCAAGGAGAAAACAGACAAAGTGACAAGCACAGACCCTCTCACATATGTACATACCCGTACTGTATCCCTACTGATACCACATTTTGCTTTCTTTAGGATTTCAGCCGCTGAACAATTAGGGGCCTCCTCTGTCTAATTTTTTAATCTTTCATTTTATGTTGAAGTCTATAGCAGCTGACACGGGGCAAAAGGCACGATATACATGTCACCACCCAATCACAGGGGCAACATAGAGACACACTAACATGTCACTAACTATTTAGAATGAATTATCCAACAAGCTTATCTCTGATTGTTAGAGGCACCCAGAGAACAAGTGGCCTTGTGGTTTCAGATCAGGAAATTTCTTGCTGTGAGTGTTAACCACTTCACCCAGACTGTTCAGTTCAGTTCTGCCACACGTGAGGAACAGTACAGCTAAGAGATAACAAAGCGTGCCGGAAGCTAATAGCAATGGGTTGGCAGTTTGGAGGTACTTAACACGCCAGCAGTCTTTTCTTTAATGTTTCTTTTCTGTTTTATGCTCAGTCTCAGTCTAATTATGTTCTGCGTAACACTTGTAGTTCAAAATTTTATTGAAAGTATGGTAACATAATGTGTTTTCGTCAACTATACTAATATCGCTTCACTTTACCATCTTCTTATCAGCTTCGATCCACACGCAACACGTGTGCATTGTGTGTCTGTGTCTGTGTGTGAGCAAGTGCACTCGCACAGAGAGCAGGGAAAGGAGAAACTAGAAAATAAGCACCTTCATGACTTTGCCAAACATAAGTTCATCAGGGATTATTAATTGTTCTGATTCTGATTGAGTCGAAATGACACTAGTGGAAATAAATTGTTGAGTAATGGAAATAATTTGAGGTTTTTTATGCTGTCATTTATAAACAAATGCCAATTATGAATATACAACTGTATATTTTAATATATGCAAGATTTTTGTTATTATTTTACAAACCCGGAAAAGAATTATTTGATATTACCTAAAAAAATGATCCTCAGTATCTTCCTCAAAGGGATTCATACAATGAGTAAAATACTAAGAGTCCACAGTTATTATTATACAATTTACTACTGGTATTAAATTGATTGTTTGTATTGGCAGATACCAACTGCTGTTTTATTCTGGGAAGACCTTGCATATTCCACCAGGACATTAAAACAACTTAAAACAATTAATATTAAAACGACAATTTAAAAAGAGCATAAAATTTCAAAAACCTATTTTGGCTTTGGAAACGGTTGATGATTTTTATCCTAACCCCTAGGATTTAACTTTAAAGGTAATTCTAATGAGAGTAGAGGAACTGTACTTTACAGAGCTGCAGATTTTTTTTTAATTTAAACTACATTTCAAGCAACTGTCTCTATGGCAAAGAAATAGAGAAGCTTTAATTGCAACCTCTGATATGTTCTTTGTTCACAGTGTAAGTAAGATCTACCGTGTACACGTGTGTGATGAGGGCTTTTTTTTTTTTGCCTTCTTCCTCATCTTGAAGTCTTGATTCAATATTTTTTCTCCTTTCCTATATCAGAAGCCTTTGATTCTGTCCTGCTTCTCAATTCTTCATGGAACTCCAACATTTCAAAGACTTCTTCTTCTCTCCCCTCCTCCTTCCCAGGCGGAGTGCTGGCCAAGTCTGGGAGAGGGACTGCCCATCAGAGGTTGGCTGCTATCAGCAGGGGGCCGCATGTCTCCAATTCAGGTCAGCCTTGGCTACAGACGGGGACTTAAAAGCAAGCCACAACGCGTCCTGTGATCCCAGTAAGCACGCTTGTTAGTGGAATTGATAACGGACCCATACACCTGGGTCCTCTGAAGTTGGCATGGCATTTTAAAGGGGAAGACAGGGAGCCAGGGCAGCCAGATACCGCATGAAAACGTGTCAAACTGAGGAAAGGAGGGATGGGGGGGAAAGGTCTTTTTGGCATGTGACGAAACAGAATATGTTTGAGGGAGCGACCTAGAACATTGTGGAATAATGTACAAATACAGGGCATATGGCATGGAATCATTCTGAGAATCCGAAATATGTTTTGGCTCTATCGTGTTAGCCCCTGTAATGTTCTTGCACAAAGTTTGAGTCATAAGTAAATGATTACCAAACGTGTGCAGACACATGCTTGAGTCATAATGTTGCATTCTTATATTAAAATGATTTTTTTTTTTTATGAATTGTATATTTAAGCTTCATATTATTCTCATATGTTTCTGCATGTGTGGATTTTGGTGACAGCAGTGCACCTGATACACTACGTGCCACCATTTCCCTTCCAAATAACAGTAATACAAGCGCCATGTTCAGATGCCACATTTATGATAATCAGAGTATAATTCATTTATTGAGTCTACCTTTGCCATGTGTTGACCCCACGGCCATGTTGCCAGCTCACATCTGGCTGCATGGTGCGGCGCTCAGTCCTGGATGGGATTTGCCCCTGGTGATGGGGCATCTGGGAGGCCAGATGAAGCTGAGGCTTGATGAGTGCTTTGTCTATTATGGATATGGGGCTTTATGGAGACATTGACAGCTGCACATTGACAGTCTCCTGAGCAGGAGGCCTACTTCAGCAGTTGTGCTCTTGCTGTTGTCTAGAACAGAGAACAAGTGCAGAGCTTTAAATATTAAATGGATTCTAAGCTTGCTAGCGCAGGTTTTAAGTCAAACCTTCATTTAAAGGGGAGAAGGAGGATGATTTATCTTTGGATTATTAAGCTTAGTTGTGAACTTTTAGATTATTAAAATGTTGAACTTACATATATAAAAATACATCAATTAAAAATATATTTCCACTTAGTCAAACTCCTAATTGTCTGCATGGAAGCTGCAACAACTAGAATCAATGCATGTTTCAAAAAATGATACCAATCAAGCCGTCAAAACGAGGTTGCAACCGAATGAAACTATCAGTGCATCTGTTGTGCGTCCTGGCACTCCTAAGTGATAGGTTGTGGATCGGAGAGGTGGATGGAGAGAGCGGAACGAGGAACTCGAATGAAAGATTATCCAACGACAAGAGACATGTAGCTACAGACCAGGCAAACCGAGCTGACGTTCTCCAACCTTCCCTCCTGCCCGCCATTTGTGAAGGATTTGGGGATTTCATAATTTCCTGTTCTTTCTGAAAGGGGGATGGCAGCACCTGGTCCACACAGCTGTACTTCATTTAGAGAGCAATTTGAAAAGAGCGAGGGGGAGAGGAGAGGAGCGAAGCAGCCTTGTCATTAAGGGCTCCAGAATGGCCTCCGTTTGTTAGACACATGGCACAGAGTTAATGCCGCTGAATGGGGAATAGGCGCTGTTGATGCTGTCACAAATTTCTCATAAGTGCTATGACATCTGAAAAAGCCACTCCAAGAGCAGGGAGGGGGAAATTCAAATTTTCCTTATCAAAGAGGGTTTTTTTGTAGGTAATTGACAGCTGTGGCTAGGATGTAAGCATGTGTTTCTGTCTTTTAAGATGGATATTCTATTTGTGTATCATTTCATCTTTCGTACACCTTGAAGTTTGTTGTGCGTGCAGGTGATGGCGGCGGTGGAGTTTATATCAATGAGCTGACAATGAGAATAATAAGCAGATTGTTGGTAAACTAAGGTGATGCAAAAGGTTTGTTGTGCGGATGCGCAGCTGCCTTGCCTCTTCAGAGTTGATCTAATTGATTTTGACATGCACATGTGCAGGGGGGGAAAAATAGTGAGGCGGGATCAAAGGCAAACGCTTTATTGCCACATCACAGGCCCCTGCTGCATTTTGAATTCTACCAATCTGTCCAAACAGTCAGATAAAATCCTGCGATGAAGAGATGTGCTTCTCTCTTTCTAGTTCACTTGCTCTACCCCTCCTCTTCTCCTCTCTCTCTCTGTCTGTCTACCTTGACTGCTCTTTCTTGCTCTTCCTTTCCTTCAGAGTAATTCCCAAGCGGTAATAAGTGATGCAAAAGTCACCAGGGCACTATGAAAACACTGATCCACAAAGGTAAAAACAGCTTCCACAACAACATGTCAGAGACTTGACAGATGCTGAAAAACTGAAAAACAAAAGATTTAAACAAAATTTAAGTTTGTGAGTTACAGAAACTGCCATGTATGAAACACTTTGCACTACATGGTGCAAAAATGTCAAGAGTGAGATTCCGTTCAGTTGGTGAGGAGCGATGAGTAACAGCAAAAGTTTGTGGAAATCAAGTTTAATTCTCTAAAGCATACTGTCACTACCAGTGACGCCATGGAGCAGCAACTGAACAAATCTGGGAAAGAAAGCCAGAGTTGAATGGCTGGATTGCATGAGTCTTATTCAAAGATAAACAGAATGCTTTGTAAGAAACCAAAAATAGAAAGGACGACAGTCTGAGATTCAACACTTAGTATCATTCTGTTTCTGAAAAATTATTTAAAGCTCACATTTAAGTAGGTCGGCAGCACGCACAATAGAAACCGCCTTCTTTTCACACCCGGCTACCTCACACAGTTTGTTTTTGAGGTGTGTGCATCGCAGCTGTCTTTTCTTTTTTCTGTAGTTAGACATCTAGACCGCTCAGTGAGCAATAGGCCCGTGCTCTGTGCTCACCGTTAATGGGATGTTGGTGTGCAGGGCTGAAAGCATGTGACTGAGTCTGTGGGCAGAGTGTAATAAAAGAACCACAGTTGGACTAACCATGCTGAGCTCAAAAAGCTACATAGGGAAGATGAGAACATGCACACATGCAAAAGTGGTGCACACACACACCTGCCAGGTGTGTGAGGAGGCTGTGTGATACGGAGCCAGGCTCCCACAACCAACCAGTCTCAGAGAGCTGTGCTTCACAAATGAGTCAGAAACAAATCCTGGTAACAAGCACAGCAAGAGAGCAACTGCCTTTAACCCAGCCATCCTCTTCCACAGCAATATAATATATAATACATTTGCTCGCTGAGTTTCACCTCAAGCTGTATTTCTGTTCCAACATTCACTGACACTGACATAACAATGATGGATTCCTCTGCAGGAACTGGAACCAAGAAGCATCCCATACAAAATTCCAACAACTTGATGAGATCTGTATGAAAACTTGCGAGTGGGCTCTGCTGTTTGTCAAGTGTGCCTTTGGCAGGGCAGTGGTGGTAGTGATGGCTGTGGGTGGTGGTGGGGGTGGAGGGGGTCAGAGGGGCTCTTGGCTGCTCTCCTCCCTCCTGTCAGCCCCCTCTCTCGGCCAGGCAGGCAGGCTGTGTTGGGCGGCCCGGCTCCTCGGTAGCAGATGCGAGCCCTCATGTCAGAGGCAGGCAGTGGCCCGACGGAGTGCCGCTCGTGCTCATACCTCATTGAGCCATCTCCCCTAGCAGATGGCGCGCTGCTGCGGGCGCTCCTCTCCCCGATAATTACCAGGCCTCGCCACAGATGGAAATGTCAGTCAGCCTCACAGGTCCTGGTTCCTGCCACTGCCTCCGTCCGCGGCCCCTCTACCTAGGCCGGGCGCTGCCAACACTCACCATGTGTTCTGTGACTGCTGACTAGGCAGGCAACAAAAGAGAAATCCACCCACATGAATATTCATGCAGGGATGTTAGGTGGCTAGCTGTAGACCAGGCTGAGCACTGGCAAATAGTTGGCCAGGTGCAGGTTGTGACACCGATTTCCAACCTTTTTTGTCTTCCACTTCTATAGTGTGTCACCGTTCACGTTTTATAGCACGGTGCCGAGAAGTGTGTCTTGATCAATCTTGTGCGTGCTGGAGAAAGAAAGGTGAAATTGTACATACTGCTTTGTACAGTTGTGGAATGACATATTTAGGAGATTAGGATAACTGTGTTTGCAAAATGGATTAATTCTAGCAGATGCCAGGACTAACCCCCACTTATCTGTGATAAGGTGACCAGATGTCTCAGCTTGGCAAAGGCAACACTCTCCGAGTTTTATTACTCCGCGCCAAAGCATCCCCCGAGAAATTTCTCTGTGCATTCACAGATAATCTACCTTCGCAGAGAACAAGGCGACAGGGTTTTGCCGCTTTGTGTGTTTGTCCATGTAAGAATTTATGTGAACGTGTTGCCTGGTTGTAGAAAGCTCAAGAAGATTAAACTAAAGTAAATACCTTTGTGCCTAAGTGCTAGCATAGTGATGGAAAAGTAAGTAGTGGTTTCCTGAAAATACCACTTTGATATAGATATCGTACAATTAAGTTTCCCAGCAGAAAAAAAAAAACATTAAATGTTAAATCAGCACCGGTCTGTTTATTTCCAAACAGCAATCATACAACTTATATTATGATGTGTGTAGGTTAATGAAACTCAGCTCATGTCCATAAAGGTTGTGGTGTTGATTTGTAAACTATTTCCATTCAGTTTATTTGCATAGTGTTAATGTGCAACAACAGTCGCCTCGAGGCACTTTACATTGGAAGATAAAGACTGTACAATATTAGTAAGAAATCCTAACAATCGGTTAACCTGGTGTGATTTAGCAGTTGGAGAGAGTGGGAAGGAAAAACTCCCTTTTAACAGGAAAAAGCCTCTGGCAGAAACAGGCTGCTGTGACCAGTTGTGGGTGAGGGGAGGGAAAAACCCATTTGAATGTCAGTTGGCTGTCGCTCCATTCCAACTTTACATATTGCTGGCTTCAAATTCAAAATTTTGGGTATATTTTCTCAAAAAAAGTCAAATTTGATTAGGGTTTAAACGATATGCAAATCACTGAATTTAGATACACATTACATGTACATTTTACCCATAATTCCACCTTTTTTTTGAACTAGCTTTGTATATTTCTACTGGGGGTGCTTAAAATTTA